GAAGGTCAAGCTTGCATTAGTGAAATGATATATCACAAAAGTTCAACAGTCGAAATGTTGAGGCATGCGCAGACCTCTATTTAGTGATATTTTCATTTCAAATATGGCGGCCAATCCGATGTCTGACGACCCTTACAAAGAATCTAGGCAGTTTGCATTTTTACCTCCTGTGAAATAACAAGTGGAATTTAGTAGTTGTTTTGTGTTTTATTATCATTCTGCATCGTAATTCTATGTGATGTGGTGTTGAAATGTCAGCACAACATGCTCAAAAGTGCCAATGTGCACATCAATGTCAAGCTAAATCATTGTTGTGTCTAAAACAGGTACCCGATCTACTCAAAACAGCTTGTCATTCACGTATACACGCTTAGCAAACACGGCGAAATGACCTGAATCTTGGAATTTCGTTCAAGAGCTAGTAATGTTTGCTCCGGTCTTCGTCATAAATGTTCATCAGACTTCACGCATGCGCAGGAGAACAACCATCAACCAATAAGGTTTATAAATCAATTTTGCGCATGCACCTTACAACGGTAAAGAAATTCGTATTTATAAACGAACCAGTTTGAGATAACCCGATATCAGTCGGAGAAATCTGACGATCTACGAAACTCACTTCAAAAAATCAAATGCGGACTGACGGCGTATTCTACTATGCTTGGATCTAAGATTTTCAGTAAAGATAAAGTCTTTTATGATCTTTCGAATGAGGCAAGTCTCTAGTTCGAAAGACAATCGTATCAACTTGAACAAAAGTTGAGTTTTGACGAAAAATTTTAACATGCGCAGAAGTCCCATTTTCGTTGTACCATATTGACTGTCAATACATGCTTTGCTATTATTCCAGGTGTTATAGCGGGGAGATTGGTTAAAGTAGAGGGCGCTAGTGAAACAGATTTACAGGTGGTGGCGGGTAGGAATCTTGGTTGGATTGTGGGCACAATGACCATAGCAGGTTTGCTTTCTGTGTATGTCACCCTCAGGATGTAGTGACATATTAAGTCACATCCGAAATGCAGTGACATATAATGTCATCTCTCATAAACACGAGACGTCAAAAACAACAGGAATCCACAGAATCCTAATGTATTCCACAATTGAGACTGCCCCCCCACACAGTGGACAAAACATTTAAACATTAATTTTAATAAAAAAAATAAGACCCAATACATATAGGTTATTTACTGGGAGGGATTGAATATGGGTTTTATTCCGAGGGATAATATGATATTGACCGAAGGGTAATATCATATTGACCAAGTGTCAATACCATATTGTCCAAAGCCAATATAATATTTTCCGAGAAATAAAACCCATATTGAATGCCGACCAGAAATAACCTATTTGTTCCATAATACATTCCTCTAAATGTTACATTTGGATAATGCAAACATTATATTATAAGTTTTTCAAAGTTATTTATCAAAGCTTTTATCAATTGGACAAGGTTAAAAATAACCAGCAAACCAAAAATAGGTTAATACGCTCCAATACGATTTTTCTTAGGGACCATACGATTGTTTCATGTAATACGCTCCACTACGATTTTTCCCCGGGACTATACGAATTTTTTCATGTAATAAGATTCAATACGATTTTTATTGCTTCATCGTTCCTGGGAAAACAGTAGTATTATGGAATAAATCTAGTTATTCCATAATATATATCTCATTCATATCTTCGGGGTTCTTCTGAAACATGTAAATGTTATCATGTTAGTATATCGTGCCATGAAAAAGTTAAAAGAGGATTGATATATTTCTAGCTAGAATTCGTACAACTTCATGAATGAAAAAGTCATTGCATGGAGTGCTTTATTTTGTTCAGGTCGAAGTAGATTTCAAGTTAAAAAAAAAATTGTGCCGCATTATTGCTATTTCTAAGTAAAATTTCATGTTATAAAATGTCATATTTCTTTGTAAGATGTCATAGTGTACATCGCCAAAATTGTTCAATCGCATCCCGTAATATTAAGGGGTGTTAAAGATGAGAATACCTGCGTGTATATCGGAGTTGGGTATGGCGTCAACGTTTCATGCTTTAATATTTTTAGCCACTTATGCCGGAGGGGGATATCTGAACGGTCTCGCTGAATTAGTGTCTACCCCAGGATTGGGACTTGTCTGGAGTGTAGTTCCTGTATGTGCTGTCTTCATAGGGCCAGGAATCGGTAATGCAATTCGGTAGCAAACACTGTCGCGACCAATGATTTTCAACCACAGGTTGGTGTTTCAACAGTATATCGTAGGCTAACGGGCAATTATGTAAAGTTATGTAAGAGATACGCTATAAGTATTGACCGAAGCTATTATTTTCCCTAAAAGCCAAAACCAATGATTTATCTTACTTAAACCCTACACTGAATCTAATGAAAGGTAAATGTCAATGAACCATTTTTAGGAAAAAATGATTTATTTTGTATTACATTAAGAGTTTGAGGACTGAGTAGGTGGAATTAGTTCAATTTCATGGCACTGCATGTTACAGGTCAGGTACAGTTTAAAACAAAATTTGATTTATTTTGTGTTAAAGCTGGACTGCGCTCCGAAACGCAATCTTGGGTTGGTTTCGGGGGTGAACTTTATCATTTTGAGCCTAATGAAAGATTATAGAATGATGAACAAATGGGGCAAATCTTGTGTAGAAATACTTACGATAAATGTGTAATTTCAAAGATTATTCATTGAATTGCTTCGATCGGCGCCGACGATATGATTTTGGAAAAGTTTCTAAATGAAGAACGTGACGTCACTTCCGAATCATAGCATTCAAAATAAGTAGCATTTAATTACATGAAACATTCATTAGAAGACGGTGGTCTAGGGGTACAATTCTCGCTTAGCACGCGGGAGGCCCGGGTTCGAATCCCGCACTCGCCTTTTTATTTTTTTTAACTAAATGATTGTTCTTTGATATAACGCAGAAAAAAAACAATTTTTATTTACATAAACTTTATATTAGAGCTTAAAAATGTAAAAACAATATATGTCAACATATTGCGTTTTGGAGCGATGTCCAGCTTTAACTATTCATCTACTGAATGAGTGAGTACTGGATGAGCATAATGTAAAAGTGGTTTTGAAAAGTAGCAAATTTCTCTTTATGTAGGTTTTTTGTGGTTTATTATTCTACATTGATTCTGAAACTATTGGTGTCTAGTTTTTCAGCGTTTTGGAAATATGCAGATTTATACCCCCCAGGTGTTATTTTAAGAGGGGTCCTAGGAAAGCCATGTATAATTCCTAGAGTATCCAACCAATCATCTTGAAATTTACAGGTAACCATCTTCTTATCATGTCCTATCATTGTGAGCAGTTTCATCAATATTGGTTAACTGGTTGTTATGGTGACAGAAATCACTTGTTAAAAAAGTACACATTTTCGTAAAAATTTAAGACCTACCCTGAGACAAAGCACATAATATTTTCCTGGAATTGGGAGGAATTAGCATGAAAACATATTAGAAAACCTATTTAGAGTATGGTTGATAATACTAAATCAATTGATGTTTTATTTTAGCCATACAATTAATTATATTTGCCGATGATAATATGGCTATGCAAAAAATGTGTAAAAGGGGGCGTGGCACTTTTCCCAAGAAAACTTTATTTGTACCCAAGTTTGTGAATAAATATATGACTATTCATTCTGATATTAACAGCTATTAGTATAGTTATGATGTTTAACCATCATGGGAAGTTTCACTATTGTTGGTATGCTGGTTGTTATGGTAACAGAAATCATTTGTTAAAAAAGATTGTATTTTCTTAAAAATCTAAGACATACCTTGACACAAAACACATAATATTTTAATGACAGTCAGGATGAGAACATTTTAGAAAATTTATTTAGAGTATGTTTCATAAAATTAAATCAATTGATGCTTTATCTTAGCCATACAAAGAATTCTACTCGCTGATGGTAAACTGGCTTTGCAAAAAAATTAGAAAGGGGCCATGGCACAATTTCCTAAGAATTCTTTATTTGTGTTCAAAGTGAAAAAATAATGTCAGTTTTCCTTGATATATACATTATTATCCCAACGAACGAAGTTCGGTAGGGATATAGTTAAGCCCTCCGTCCATCCGTCAGTCTGTCAGTCAGTCAGTCCGTCCGTCCGTCCGGAAGATAACTCAAATATTAGTTGACGGATTTTCTTCATATTTGGTGGAAAGATGTATATTGATGAATAGTTTTACGCAAAAAAAAATTTTTCAAGATGGCCGCCGCTTTAAAAATGACGGGACTTTTTCGCAAAAATCATAAATTTTTCATTCTAAACCAAAGTAATTAATATTATTGTTTGAAATTTATATTATTATATATAATTTATATATTTATATTCGCAACATCTATCTATTTCACATATATTCTGTGTTTTTCAGGAAAACAGAAATTTTCGCTAATTTTTAGATCTTTCTGAAGTATAGCTTTATTATACTCAAATGAAAGGCAATTAAGAGTAGATTGCAACAAAGGTCATCTTTATAGCGAACAGAAAGTTTGTTCTTCAGGAAGAGCTGTTTATATTTGGGGTTATAGTCACTCAGATTGTTTTCCTTCATTTGTGCCTGATACAGCTCATGGACATGTTCAAGTGTTTCAACTCCATCGGTTTGAAGGACATGTTCATCTATATGCTTACATATGATGTCAAATGATGTTATTAAAACCTTTTCCTCTTCATTTATCGTTCGTACTTTCTTGCACAAGTAATTTCTTCTACAGGTATTATGGTACCAAGCTTCTGCTGATATCAAACAGCGTCCTCCTATTTTTGCATGTAAAGTCCAGTCTTCTTGGGCTTTCACTGCATTTATTATTGATGTTGAAGCGTTGTCTGTTTGGCATTTTGTTAATGATTCTTTTGTGTTTCCTTTGAGATATTTCAGATCTTTTTCACAAAAGAGGCACTTGTTTTGTTCAAAAAGGTTGCTTTGGCGTAATTTCTTACTATGACATTCTTCACCAATTGCTAGAGCAGAGGATCTTTTCCTCAAATTTCTCTCGGACATGATATATACGTAACAACACTAATACATTGATTTACAGGGTTCTACTCAGTTGCATGATATATGGAAAAAAGTATATATATTGGAAGGGCAACACTCCACGATGCAATAATGGAAACTAAAAGATGGTGTATTAAATCACCTACCTTAACTGAAACGTAAAAGTAAAAAATAAGGAATAACTGTGTATATAGCACAACTGCAACCGCAGCACACTATTTGGAACCACTGTCCAAAATCACTCACAACCGCACCGCACTGTCTGGAACCACTGTCCAAAATCACTCAATCTATTAACACAGAGTCACTAAACTTTATCTGTATGCAGCACACATAAACAATGTGTATTAGATCACCTACCTTGACTTCAACCTAAAATTATAAAATAAAGAAAATAAAGAATGCCTCTGCATCTACACAGTTACGCAACCGCACCGCACTGTCTGGAACCACTGTCCAAAATCACTCGCAACTGCCCCGTAATCAGTTAGGCAACCGCACCGCACTGTTTGGAACCACTGTCCAAAATCACTCACCTGACTTAAATCACTCACCTGTCCAAAATCACTCACTGTATTTACCCACAATCACTCACCTCTATCTAGATGTAGCACAGCTTAACCGCACAACGTATATCTATTTCATCAGGTCTGCACAGCTAATCAAGAAGGCATGAACTGTGGTAATTGAAGCATACCATTGACAACAAAAGCTCATATCAACAACTGATTTATCATTGCATATACAACTTATTCCTAGGAATGCAGATTTAATTTGCCATCACATTAATGAAGTCTAAATTCTAATTGCAACATTTAAATAATGCTCTAAATTTGGTATTATTGTTATATCAAATAGGAATTATTAACTATTTTTATGAATAACATTATTTTCTATCTGGATATTAAGCATGACGGGAATCACTCAAACATGTATATTTCATAAAGATATCAGGTTGATTTAAAAAGAAACAAATATATAGGTAAGCATGTGAGTGAGTGATAAATTAGTATCATCCAGAATGAGATTAATGAATTTATTTAATATAAACAATAATTTATTTGATTTTGTTAAAATGCGTTTTCCTCAAAACTTCATTCCAAGATGCAAATTAAGCACACATAAATAAAATCACATTGATGACCTCACAAAGCCATGAATGTATATTTGAAGACAAAGTTTATATCCTTAATTAGATAATATACCCCATACCCCTTTAACAACCAGCAGACCAACAATAGCGAAACTTCCCATGATGGTTAAACATCATAACTATACTAATATCTGTTAATATCAGAATGAATAGTCATATATTTATTCACAAACTTGGGTACAAATAAAGTTTTCTTGGGAAAAGTGCCACGCCCCCTTTTACACATTTTTTGCATAGCCATATTATCATCGGCAAATATAATTAATTGTATGGCTAAAATAAAACATCAATTGATTTAGTATTATCAACCATACTCTAAATAAGTTTTCTAATATGTTTTCATGCTAATTCCTCCCAATTCCAGGAAAATATTATGTGCTTTGTCTCAGGGTAGGTCTTAAATTTTTACGAAAATGTGTACTTTTTTAACAAGTGATTTCTGTTACCATAGCAACCAGCTAACCAATATTGATGAAACTGCTCACAATGATAGGACATGATAAGAAGATGATAACCTGTAAATTTCAAGATGATTGGTTGGATACTCTAGGAATTATACATGGCTTTCCTAGGACCCCCCTTAAAATAACACCAGGGGGGTATAAATCTGCATATTTCCAAAACGCTGAAAAACTAGACACCAATAGTTTCAGAATCAATGTAGAATAATAAACCACAAAAAACCTACATAAAGAGAAATTTGCTACTTTTCAAAACCACTTTTACATTATGCTCATCCATTTTGTACCAAATTAATTTTGGATACATTGCCAATTGTACATCCTTTAGAAAATAGATATAAAATTCACGCATCTTTGTTACAGCTGTATATTCTTTAAGATAAACTACAGTTCATTCTATTATGTTGCAACTAAAGTGGGATTTAAGTTTACACAAAATTGGCGTTGCAATCAATTAACAATTACTAAGAACCAAAACGATTTTGAGATGGACCAATACCGAACCATATTTAAATTTAACAAAAAGCCGTGGTTCTCCAGTGATCTGCTACTTTTACTTAACTTGCGCAATTAGATTTTTTGGGAAGAATACAGAGAATATTAACACATTTTACCATATCGAACAGCTATTTTACATACTTTTTGTGGCTTGGTTGAATGGCTATGAAGTTCAGATGAGTCTCACCAAGGCTGGGCCGAAAAAACGCCACTTTTTTTTAAATGCTAATACTTTTTTTTAATTTTTGATATTAAATCATAATTTGCATACCAAATGAAACGTGAGGTTGTTATCTAGCCATGGATCATGAATTATACACTTTTACTTGAATAAAATATGTCACCAGCATCTCACTTAAACATGTGGTGTGCCATGAGAAATAAGCATAATTTGCAAAATGTTCCTGAACTGAACGGCCTGATGATCGCCAGGCTAATAGCCCTGATGCAGTGAGTATGGGAAGGTCTCCAGGAAATTGTAGATCGTATGAAGGCACCCAATCTAGAAAATTGTTCAACTAAAGCTGGCAATTAAGACAGGTTGAAAAAAATTAGCTAACACTTCATTGATACTGCAATATCAGCAAGGCGACAACAACTAACATATATCATCAATTAGGGCGGTGGATCAATTGCACTCCCTTTTGAGATCCAATAATAATCCAAGTTGAGGGACTTGTTACATTATAATATTACTAAGAACCCTTGGCACTATTATAACTGCAAAATTTGGGGTATGTAGGTTGGAAAATGAAAAAGTTTTAGTGTCTTAAAAAAGTGGCGTTTTTCGCCCACCCTGTAGTGACAATGGATATGTTAAGCGGAGTTCATAATTGTTCGTGCAAAGGATTGGTATCGATATGATGAACTGAACAAATGTTCCTCTTTAACCCGTCATCAAAAAATTCTGACATTTCTACACATCGTCAATTTAAGAATTATCGTTTAAATGGCTACAAGAAAAGCAAACTGTAAGTGTAAATCTGTCTTAAGAAAAGTCGACCCTACATGTATATATCCCAAACCCATGATCTAACGTGAAAAGAAACAATGTCTAGTACCCCCTCCCCCCTCCAATCGAGAACCAATATCACAATCCAAGACCAGAACACCAAGGGACATTTCATTCATACTGAAGTCGTTACAATACATGTTGAAGAAAAATTGATAGCCAATACTCATAAAATAGCTGTAGATACTAGCACTCATAAAAGTCTCAGTCTCAAATGATGTGGGATAAAATCCTGTCTCAAAGTCCATAGGCAATTCAAAGGGTCAACATCCGTTCTCAAAGCCATCATCATAATCCATAAAACAAAACAATTCACAATGGTCATCAGGAGAAAACTATCGCTGGTTTCGATCCCTATTCCTCAACCATTAATGCCATAGCTCGGATCCACCTCAAAAGGTGCCAAGTGAAAACATTGTGAGTCCATTGCCAATTTGTTATACCATTCCTAAATCCCTCAGCATGTGAAGGAAAACGCTTCAGACACTTCTTTTGTTCTTGATATCATATTTTTGAAATACAATGAAACATCTATAAGAACCTCATTGGAACGAAACGACATACGTGTTTAGGTCTCTCAATACTCTAATTCTGCAAGGGGAAGTTTGGTTCCTTCAAAAAGTATCTTTCGTTAATAAAATAAATGGGTTACGTTAACTTTTATCTATTTAGGGGGGAAGGCTTTGTTTTAATTTTTCGAATACTTTTTATTAAACGAACCAAATTTTCCTTTGTATAACTATAATATTGAGAGGTCTACGAAAATGTTGTACATGCTATTTTGTTCCAACAAGGTTCGGAAAGATATTTTATTTCATTCTCAAGAATTGGTAGAAAGGAACAAAAAACAATTGCACTAAAAACAAAAATGTTAACAAAAACAGTTAAAACTATATTTATATATTTTTTTGCATTAAATCGTTGTCCATCAGTGACCATTACATAAAGAATCGTGTTTTTTACAGAATATTTTCAATAATTGGTTTTAGAGAAAAACAAGGTTGAATTCAGTTCGCCATATCAATACCAATTCTTTCCTCAATGGATCGAAAATTGTCATTATAACTCGCCAAACTTACAATAGGTTAGCAATTTGTCTCAAATAAAATCACATGACACGAAAAAAAATTATTATCAGATTATGGAATTTAAAATGGGTAAAAAGCCCTCTATTAAGTACAAAACTAGGTCAAATTCACAACCGTTTAGCTTGGTATATGAAATATACTACAAATGAAACAAAGCAGTTCTAATACAAGGATTTATATTGGCTGTTGTACATATTCTTTGAACGCAATCACTCTATGGATAATGTTTTCAAAATCATTATAAACGGATTACTTTATCTCAAAGACAATTTCAATAAACTGGATTTTACAGAACTCTCCTTATTTCTTAAAAATGGACTGATCCAGTCGATTCGCCTGGAGCCGCCATATTGTTTTTATACGGGATGCTTATCGGAACCCTTTAAATGCATAAAATCGCTCTGCCCACTAGTTGTCGGGATATTCTAAGATGCCACCCCTGATTGAATGTTGACTTCGCCTCTGTATAATGTATATAAACATACTTAAGCCAAATCAAATGTTTTATATATTAAAATATAAGCAATATTTTTTATTTATCATTTACATGTATTTCAATAAGTTGGTTTTTAATTTTTATATTAATGAAACTTTCATTTCTCATCAAAATGATCTGATCAGAAAAATCAATGTTAAAAATCAGATAGAAAAATACATTGACCATCAGACGCACAAGTGTTTCAAACCTTAACATTTTGATAACTGTTAAAATGTGAGTTTGATGCATAAATTCCAGTCAGCCTTGTGATTATTTAGTTGGGGTTTAGTAAGTTTTTAGTAAGTTGAAGTTGGGTTAAACATCACAACACACAAACTATTATAGATGTGAGTCAAAATTGCATGGTTAGTACAAAGTGTGGAAACCGTTCAAACCGTTGAATAGAACAGAAATAGAACCATTCTCGCGAGCATGATTGACTGTTGGTATTTAGGTATACATATCCTCAATACCTGATACGAACATAATAAATTACACAATATAATAAAATAAGAAGGATTGACCAGTTGTTTGTTGTCAAGTTGACGACAAATAATTGTTTATATGTAGAAATACAGAATTTCTCAGGCAGAATATTTTCTGTATTTCACTCAAATCATTGAATAACTTATAGTATTACATACCTAGCGAAGCATTTGTATGCAAGTCAAGGAGCCGAGAGTCGGCTATAAATTCCTGTATAGCCGCCAAACTTTATAACCATGACAATTTCATGATATCTTAACATGTAAACGAAGTGATTTAGACTGGAATCGTGTTAAACTTTGGTCTTTTTCACGCATATCTATATACATCATGAGATGTTATGTAAATGTACTTTAGGTATGTACGGCCTGTCGTCAATATAACCCTCGCAAGCTCTGGCTATATATTGACGTCAGACCTCAGGCATATATTCAATGATAGGGACATAATGGCTAAATACAGGGCGTCCAGCGATCGATTTTTAAAATGGGCCTTGTTAAAAAAAACATTGAATTGTAAAATTTTAATGAGAGATAAAAATGAATCTTAAATATAAAAAAGTTTGTGAAATTCTAGAGTTGGTTGAAAAAACTCAATTAATACCTTGGAGTCAGGAAAAAAAGAGACAATAAAATTTTATGCTCGTATCTAAGTACTAGAAGTATTATCTGAAACACTTAGTTGTTGTTGCTATATTTTTTTGACATGAAAACAAGAATGTGGGCATATCTGAAATTATGGGATATAATGGTTTGGCTAATAAAGAGATTCATGCACATGTTAAACTTAGAAAACTTAGAAATCGAACC